CCAAAGCGGTCTGGAGAACTAGATGATGTGTTGGAAGGTTTAGCATGGCCCGGCGCAGCTAGGGACACTGGTTTCATTTTAATCTTGGGCACCGTACTACAGAAAGCGATTCCAAAGCCCCCAACGACCTCAATTCCTTCCCATCTAAAAATCTTCAGACATGCATGCTCTTTTCCCCCATGGATGTTCCACCTTGGGCCTTCACTCAGGGTCTGGGCCTCACACAGGCCTGGGCCACACCACCTCAGCAGCATTCTGTCGAAGGCCTCATCCATCATTAGCAAAGAGAAGGGAGAAGTGCCCTGTTTTTAAGGAGTGACAATGACCCTCCCTCTGCCCTACGTCAATCACAGGGCCCCAGCCAGGGAGAGAGCGCTTCTCTGCAGAGTCCTAAGGAACTCTCAGTCTACTCGGCCAGGTTCTTAATAGATTCCATCCCAGGTAGGAAGCTCTTCTTCTGGACCGTGGAGCCCTCGGGGCATCAGCCCAGGTGGGAGCTTCTGGCCAGGTTTAAGGGGTGATGAAACTCGGGAAGTGGTGGTTCAGAGGAATGAGGAACAAACGAACCACAGGCGTTAAAAAGCTTAACAACAGTGTGCGTTTATTATAGTTCATAGAGCCAGGGTACACATGCGCGGTGCTTCAAACTGAGCTATTGTTAAATGTTTTTCTGGATGCAAAGCCATTTGATGCTTGATGCAGATGCCTTAAATACTATAGTATTTTTGCGTCTATGACCTATGAGCTAAGAAAAAATCAAGGACAGTTCCAGAAATGGCAAAGAACACTTAAGAAAAAGATGTACATGAGACACAAGGCTCAAGTTCTTGAACCAGGGCCTACACAAGCGACAAGCAAGTAAATAAAAACAGAATTTTTCTATGACCAATCACCACTTGTAGTTTAACACCTCTGGACGCTATAGGAAGAAAAGGTTATGGATTGGTACCGATGCCCTTCTCCCCTCCACAAGGCAGCCCACAGAGAGCAGCCCAGAGAACACGGCCCAGCAACGGCCCCCTCCCCCACAGTGCCCCAATGCAGTTTCTTATGGCGTCTGAGTGTCCTTCATGAATAGTAGTCAATTTGAGGAAAATCAACTGTGCTCCAGACAATGAGATACCACCACACGCGCCCTCTGCAGCCTCCCAGAATACTGGCCAGAACTGGGGGTCGGCCGAGCATCGCGGCCAGGGCCCTGCTCTGGGCTTGCGGCGAAGTTCAATTCTCAGCACCCCGCTCTAGCTTTTACAAGGGGAGTGGGTGAAGTGTGGCAACAGTGTGCTGCCCGCCCCGCCCACCAAGTCCAGGTAGGGTCCCAGTTTAAACATGCTCTGCGGTTCAGCTGCTCAGCGGATGCCAGGCCACCCGTGTCCCCCGCTCGCTGAGTGGAGGGCAAGCCCTCTCCTGCCTGATGGCACTGGTCTGAAGGGCCTACGCTCAAACCCTCCTCAGGCAACTCAGCATCTGAGCAGTGGCAGGAGTAAGTCAAAGGTCAGTGATCTGGGTGACTCAGACCCCGCCAGCCATGCAAACGCTTCCTTGCAGGCCCAGAGTCCCCACCCCTGCTCAAGGAGTCGGAGCAGGCGACAGCACGTGACCAGAGCCGCAAGGTTTTCAGAGTTTTGGCTTTCTCCCCCACCTTCTGGGCAGGATGCACCCACCAGCACCCAACGCACCTGGACTCTGAGGAGATGCTTCAATCTCACCAGTGCCAATGGGGGCCAGAACAAAGGCCACAAGTCAGGTGCCCCCAAGGCCGGACTCAAGCCAGTCCAGTGACTGGCAAAAAGCTGGTTTCTGCGGGCCGTGGAGCAGCTGGAAGGAAGCCTCTAGAAGTGAGCAGGTCAGGACGCTAAGTGGGTGCCTGTGAGCGGCACCAGCTCTCACCTCTGTTTCGATCTCTGGGAGCCTTGTTCTTGCAGGTGGTCAGATGTCAAAGGAAGGAGACAGAAGGAGCTAATGGAATTGAAGAGGAACAAAGCAGGTGTCCTGAGCCACTCGGAGCCCGACTTACATAGGAGTCAGAGAGCACAGGAAACAGAATCAGTTCTCTCTGCTGCTACTGGGGCGGGGGGAGGTGTTGGGCGGAATCACCAGGTTTCCAATTCAAAAATTGATTTTAGGGGACCAGGTTTTCCAGTGCCATGGACATAAATTCTATTTGAATCTGATCTGAGGCAAGTCACAATAGCTAAGTTTCACCACGCAGAGTACAAACCCCATAAGGGGGGGCAGCGAGAGGTCCACGTGTGCACCCTTGAGGGGCTCAGGCCGAACCCCGAGTCTCTGCGGGCCTCCCAGTGGCTGTGACTCTCACCTACTGCGAAGAAGTAAACCAGGATTCTGCTGGGAGACACCGCAGGCGCCGAGCACATGATTCCGTTACAGGTCTTCCTTTAACTACTCAGATTTAACAAAGTAAGTGACATTTAAAAGAACCCGTACATGAAGACCACATAGGAATACACGTCTTGATTTTCCTCAAATCCTCAGGCCTTGAGTTTAGGCAAAGCACACAAACACCATATGAAATAAACAGCATGAATTCAATGTCACCTTGCAAAATAAATGTCACTCTGAGGTGATAATAGTTCTTTATACAAATATTATGCTCCCCCCTAATCCCACCACCAAAAAGGGGAAGAAGAAGAAGAAATCCAAAAATAGAAAACAACATCTTGTTAAGTGTAAACTTCTCTGGAGTTTTTATATTACATATGCTAGAAACATGCATTTAGTTGAGCTCCAAGGTAAGAAAATATGTCATCGGTATTACTCAGAAATCAGATTAAGCCTCAAGACTACCGACTCACTGTTAGAACACCATTTCAAATTGTAATAAATTATGTTTTTAGCAAAATTATAAATTCTAACCACAAGCAAAATGGGTTTCAGTCAAACCCGATGAGAACTACCTCTGCTCTTTAAATTGCTGCTCGTCTACTGGTTTCCTACATTGCTGTAAATTGAGAGCGCTACGTCCATGAGGAACTTGTACGTTAAGTTTTCATCAACCCCCAAATTAAACTGCTTACAGAAAATAACTCTGCAGACTGCGAGAAGACACACGGACAGAGAGAGTCAAGGGGGACGATGACCACTCCACTCAGAGACAGAACGGAAGAGATGACCAAGGGCATCCCCCAAGGGATTCAAGGCACAGAGAAAGAGGGCCTCCCCCACATGGGCGCCTGGCTTCTGCAGGGCACTGGGGGGCTCTCAGCCCTTCCAAGGGCTTCCAGGCCTGGGCCAGTGCCCGGCAGGACTGCCCTCAGCACAGGTCTGCTTTGCTGTGGGCAGAAGCCCTGAGGACAGTGTTCGAGCCAAACTCGTGTGGCTCGGTGACGAGCATGGGTGAGGTGGCCCTGGACTCTGAATACAGCTCCTGGGCTCCCAGATACTGCTCAGCCCGATACGGTGAGGGAAGATACGGGTGGCCATCAGCGGAGGCCTCTGCCCGAGGTCAGTCACAGAACCACACGTTAGCGTCTCGGCACTCGGCTTCACAAGGAGCCTCCACCATGGGCTTACCTCTCTACCGACTGCCAGATACAGCAAAGCCTGGCTTATCCCGAGGACAGCGGGGTCTTCCGATTAACTCAGTTCCACCAAACTACTCAATGGATTACAGATTCTGAATGGATAAAAAAAAGTGTCTCAAATTACATTTTTCATTTGTGATTCAGAAGGCACTTCAAAATTCTGCAGAGCCACAGGGTCACTGTTACTAGATCATCAATGCTCCTGTACAGGAGTGATGTAGAAGCTGAAGGAGATCGGGCCTCATCTTTGACCTGATGATGTCCTGGACGTTTGATAAATAAATCTGGAATTAACTAGTCTGTCATGTACCTTAGAGTCCAGCGTACAGCACAGAAAGACGGTATGTTTGCATTTGGACTAGATGGGATTTTGCTGTTATCGTGGCAGTTTATAAAATATTCTCAACAATCTGATATTTGACCCTAAGTAAAATTCAAAACTGATCATTGTACATTTAAGAGGTCACCAGGTGAGAGGTAAAGTACTCACTGAGTACAGTTTTCTGATAATTGAATCACCTTGCCAATCTGCACTTAGCACTGTTTGGAAGCATGAAAGCAACATAGTGGCGCTCAATGGCTTCACTTGCTAGCACTTCAGGACTCTATGGATGGAGGAACAAAGGCGCTCCAACCAACCAACCAACCAAACCAACCAACCAAACCAAACCAACCAAACCAACCAACCAACCAAACCAACCAAACCAACCAAACCAAACCAACCCAACCAAACCAACCAACCAACCAAACCAAACCAACCAAACCAACCAACCAACCAACCAACCAACCAAACCAACCAACCAACCAACCAACCAACCAACCAACCAACCAACCAACCAACCGCTTTCCTGCCAGACAAGTCACAGGCCTCCTGCAGCGGCCTCGGAGGGCAGCCTGAGGAATGGAAAGGCCCGGTCTCCCCCTCTGCTTGCACCCACTGCCAGGCAGCACCTTACCTTGAGAATGCATACAGGCCCCGTCAAAACCGCGTCCGTCAAACGTCAGCTGGGGTGCTAAAATCAAAGTCCCCCACAGGCCCGGTGCGGGGCGCTCTGAGGTAGCCCCTTATCTCAGAATGCCTGCCAACCTACTCTTTCTCTCAGCATTTCAGAACACGGAGGAAGCATTACAATATCCATACATCGCTTTAGTCGTAAATCACTGTAATTGAGTGCAAAATCAAGGAAACTTGAGTTGCTTTATTTAGCTTCCAATTTCTGGGAGGCTCAAGAGTTAGAATTATTCTGGACAACAAAAGAAAATAAGACTGTGCTTACAGACCTTTTTCTGCCATACTCTTTCTTCAGGATCGCTATTTTATTGTTGCCCTTTCTGTTACACAGATGTACACATCAGGTGTTAAAAGGTACAAGACATTCTACAACCGAGCACCACTTTCTGTAACAACAGGCAAAGAAATGACACTCAACATCAGCATCTGGCAGTATTTTTTCGGAAAAAAAAAAAAGTGACTAAAATGGGTTTAAATTGATTAACACTATTAAATCACATCTAATATTTGATACTACATGATTCAATACAGCTATACGACACAATTATACAAAATGTGTTAACATCAAAGAATACAACCAAAATTAAGATAGCAAACAAAACCTATATAACTTTTTTTTTTTTTGTACAGGAAAATACTTTTGAAGTATGCATGTAACTGCCCATTCTTTTAAAGAAAATCTACTGCAAGCAAAGTTATCAACCTCCAGAAAAATCACACATAGCATTACTAAGCATATCCCCAAAAAGTGTACAATATGCACACTTGGAAAATACAAAATTAAAAAAATTGTAAGCAACAGGTGAGCTTCATATTTATAAGAATGTGAAAAGAAGTCCCATTTTTAGCACTGTTGTATAAAGAATTGTCTTTTGATGCGAAGTTCATGAATTGTCCTCCTGTTGGGACCACACTTTACAAAAACACCGTGTTTTTGAAACGAGATTACAGAGCAAGATAGAGCATCTTAGCAATGTCATCTTATTAAAGTTTTTTTTTTTTTAATTTTTACTACTTTATCAAAACATGTCCCTTAGGTGTGTAGGATTCGTATTTAAAATTCTTTCCTAGAAACAATATACAAAGGAGAGGCGTATTTATTCTCAATCACACTCCTGGAAGAAGCTTCCCGAGGCCGAGAAGGGTCTCCTCTCCTCCTCTCACTGGTTGTTTTTGGCCTTAGCATGTGTTAAGATGTGCGATTTCAGGTTAGTTGACTGAGCGAACTTCTTATTACAGCCGTCGAAGGGGCACACATAGGGCCTGTCTCCGGTGTGGATCCGCACGTGCGTGCGCAAATTGAAGTCCAGTGAAAAGCGCTTCCCGCAGCCTTCAAACGTGCACTGTCGAGGAAAGACCAGAGTCAACCCACCAGCAACTGTGGCAGACCCGGGGAGCCAGGAGCTCTCTGCTGTGGCGGAGGAAGGTGGACCGCTTCCCCCCCGCCCTGGGCGAACTTCCTAGACATCTGCAATCAGTGGGCAGGGATCGCTGACTCCGCATGCTGGACATCTCCTAAAAACCGCGGAGACCCCTCACGAAATGTTTAAATACAATGAAAGAGGAACACTTGGCAAAAAGGCAGGGATCTTTCTGAACTTGATTAGGTTAAGTTCCTACTACTTAATATCTCCAATAGTAAAATATAAATGACTAAGAATGTTTCTGGTATCAATAACCAAAAAAAAATATTAGGTTTACTAGCTGTATTGCTAGTTTTTTCAATTATTTCTGGGCTTCTAACATCAAGGCAAAATACCATCTCTATTTACTCACATATGATACATTTTCAGAAGTCCCTGTCAATCAGAAGGTAATTCCCTATACTATTAACTATGAAAAACCCATCACCGCAACCTGGTAGTGAACGCACTAGAAAGGTCGTTCTTGGCTCGCCCTGGGCCATGCTGGTGTTCTCCTGGTGTAAACCACACTCCCTGAGCCCCGGGATCCAGCCCACACCCCGCACTACACAGATGACACAAGAGGAAGACGAGAGCCTGGGTCCCCCGACTGACGTTTCTCACCAAGGATAAGGTACGTCTCTGAGAGCAACGAGCCCGGCTCTCGGCCGCTTCCTGCGTCACCACGCTGCCACCGGCAGCAGTGCGCTAGCACCCAGGAAGGTGCGGAGGGAAGGGGGGCTCTACCTGAAAGGGCTTCTCTCCAGTATGAACCAGTTGGTGCCGTTTTAGTTTTGAGCTCTCAACAAAAGCTTTGCCACACTCTGCACAGACGTGGACTCTGGGACCGTGGGTGTGCAGATGTTTCCTCATGGCAGAGTTGTCCCTGAACATCTTTGTGCAGCCCTTGAAACAGAGAGAAGCTTAGTGGTTCCCACCGCACACTCTGGCAAGGGTTCAATCACTTCAACCACACAACAGCCCTCACTGACAGGTTAAAACAAACACCCCCTAACCCAGTGGGGATATACAATTACCTGCTCAACCCCCCAGCTTTAATCTGACTTAGCATTACGGCAGAAAATCGATAAATGATTTAACACGAAAACCAGACAGCTGAAAAAGGCCTTATCATTTACTGCAAACCCCCTGTTTACAGATGAGGAAACTGAGGCTTCGCAAGGTCCTTCAGTAGACTTGCCCAAGGTCACGCTACTAGAGTAGCCGAGCTGGGAGTAGAACCCAGCACGCTGGCTCCCAGCTCCACCACAGCTGCCTTACCCAAGTACGTCCCCCAAATGAAGTAACAGAAGCACCGATACAGAAATGGAGTTAAAAGGCTGGCAGGCCACCACTACCTTTGGTGGGCCCCATATTCTGTGCTGCAAGAATGGGCTGTCATTCTCCATCGCCCAGTGCTCCCTCTTCTCTCTTTGCCTCTTTCCCCTTCTTGACAGAGAAAGAAGCTAGAGGGTCTCCAAGGAATGGCAACTACAGAAGAAATTTATTTTGTGAGACACTAGGAAAAGGAAGAAGCAGGCAAACTGACTACCGATGCAGTGTGGACTGAGGCAGATGGATATGTGGTGCTCAAGAGAAGCATGTTCTCAATTTCTTCTGCAGTTGTTGCCCAGTAATGGAGTGACTGGGGGATGATAAAACAGCATGACAGAAGGACAGCACAAGTCAACCACTGACAGCTCCACAGGCAAGGGAGGGGAAGCCACAGTTTTTTCACCTTGACCTCTAGGTGGAGCTTCCATTTGGGAAATGGAGTCAAAACAAATTAACTGGAGAAAAGTACACAGAGAAGCTACAGAGATGACAGGCAGTGAGGAAGGCATAACTGTTTTCAAATGCTTATTTCTTTCTGGCCCTAATAGGAATCATTTTCCATTTCAAAATCTCCACATTCAGAGCATGAAAAAAGAATGCAAACACATGAAGTGCAGAGTCACAATAGATGACATCATGCAACTAAATTTATCCCTCTCCAAAGCAGACTTTGAGAAGTCTTTATTCCATTCAAAATTTCTCCCCTTTATTTCTCTGCACCTATGTGATGTTTTATTTTCTGTTAGTTTTATACCCAACTAGGTTCGAAAACAGACCTCAGTCAATAACCTCAAAGTACTCTGCAGGCCATCCTTTCATTTCAAAGATGTACCCCATTTGAAAACAGTTAAATACCCCTCTAATAACATACAATTAACAGGGTAAATCAAGAAAACTGTGAAGGAAATCATAAAGTCTTATTAGGCTTATTTTAGCAACATCCAAAATAATGTCCAAACTTCAATAATGAGCCTATGGACCCATAAAGGTCCGTGGGCAAGATAAACCCAACGTCTTAAGACTGATTCATACCGTGATAATAAAAACACTCGTGCCCTACAGTAACTGTATTTAATATAATCTAAATTTAAGCAGCCTTTACTGAACAGAAGTTACATCACAAAATGTAGTCTTCTGAATTTGAAGAGACCAAAGATTATAGTTCCTTACTTTATCTCAATTATGAAGATGGAAATAAAAATCCAAATTTCGTATAAGTGCCCTAAAACTTCATTAACAGTTTCGTAAACATTTTTACCTAACATTACTTACTTTATGAGGGCAAGCTATTGTTCTTGGAGCATCATCTTCTTTAATTTTTCTTGGCTTCATTCTTACAAAAAAAAAAAAAAAAGACGGATTTGTAGGAGTGCGTAGACTCAACTGGCATAAATCAAATAGTTGCTAAAACGCCTTCCTTATAAGTATAAAAACTAAGATTCTATGATACTTCTATGCAGGGGTGGGATACACCTAGGACTGTGAAGGACCATCCCATTTTACAGACAAGGCTACCGATGTCAGAAAGGTTGACGTGTCTATCTACCGTCTCGTAGCTAAGACGTTAGTGCAACTTCGAACGGCACTATGACCTGTGAGATTCAGATACACACTCTTTCCTCCAACCCTTTAAAAAAAATACAGAAGATCAACAGCCCAGACGAGCACAATGAAGCTCCCTGCTAGCACAAGGCAGGGTCAGCAGCTGTTCTAATGGTAAAGGAGTCTTATAAAAAAGGGAGCAAAGGATATGGGAGCGTCTTAAAAATATAAATCCCTATACGACTGTTTAAAACAAGAAACTAAAAATGGTCCAACGCATACTGATAGGAAAGGACCTTTAAGACACACTGTTAGAAAACAAGGCAGAGACTGGTTTCCTTTTAAATGGAGAATAACTGATACACATATAAGTATAAAATATTGTTAGAAGGGGACACAAGAAACTGTTAGCATTGGTTTGGGGAGGAGACCCTTGGGACTGGTGGACAGGGGACCACCACATACCCTTTTATACAGTTCAATCTTTATCATAGTATTCTGGCGGGGGGTGGTATGGAGGGATAGGGGGAATCAGAGTTTTTCATTTATTTTAAAAGACAATTTCTGGTTCTGCTTCCAGATCTGTGGTGGGCTTCAGAAGTTTCCACGGTAACAAGAATCTGGGTAACACGGGCGCGGTTAGGGAGAGCCCTGTCTGGAGTTACTATCCAGAGAGCTTGCTGATTTGGTGGCTTACCTACCTGCCATCTCCACTGAACCAACCTGTGGTCTTTTGTCAAACTGTCTCTCCAAATACTCCCTACAGATCTGAGTGTGGCAGAGGGGTGAGAAATTAAGAGTTCCTAGAAAAACTAGAAAACACAATTTTAATCTGTGAAACAGACTTTCCTTTTGTCCTTCGTTTTGCCATCTCAACCTCCTACTCAAGGGTTTGTATTTGATAAACAACTAAGTCAGCCATTCCTTGACAGTAAGAGCCAATCTGCCACCACCTCTTACCATGAAAGATTACTTCTGTCACCTTGAAGTTCGCAAAGGCCCTGGCAATAACCTTCATTTTTCTACACCCTTGATCTAGAAAAACACTTACTTGTGATGCTTCTACTGTATAAAACCAGAACTCATGAAATCATCTAGTTAAACTTTCCATCCCCCGGAGAAGCACATGTGAAACCATACACCTGGTAGTTATAATTTATCTCTATGAAGTTTATTCAAGATGCTACATATTTTCTACTCTAAATTCTATGAGAGTATTTTCAGTCTGGCACCCCCACTCTCACCCCTACCCTGTGGACACTCGTTCTTTCTTGTAACTGGAGTATTACTACATCAGTTAGCAAATATTTTCTAAGTTCTCATTGTGTACAGGGCTCTGAACTGGCTTTCGTTATCTTAAATACCAGCAAATCCTGGCATTTTGGTCTGAGTTCACAGAACTACTAGGGAGGACAGAATTATGGTGCCACTGAGCTACCTGGAGTTGGATCAGAGTTTGAAAAATAATAGTATCCATATCAAGTGTTTTCTTCCACTCAAATATTAAAACAAACAAAAACATGAACCGAGTTTCAGTCTTCTCAGTTACGAATTTTTATTCATTGACAAGTCCACTGAAATGTTCTATGTCTCGACTGTGGATATGGTTACATGACTGTTTGTCAGAATTCATAGGTACACCCTTAAAAAAAGAGGGTGAATTTTACTGTATGCAAACACAGTACTATAATAAATTCGACTTTAAAAAAAAGGTCACTGAGTTGACAAATACTCATGTTACATAGATGTTTTCCTTGCCCCACCCATCTTGATGCTCAAATTCCAGGCCCATGGCAGTGAGGTGCCTGTGCCCAGAGGGCAGGTGTGGTGGAAGAGAGTCCCCTCAACACTATATTTTCTCAGAGATTTAGTTCTAGGACCTTTTTTTTTTTTTTTAATTAATATTTTATCATGGAAAATTTCAAAGATGCACAAAAGTACAGAGAATCGTGTAATGTCCAGGTACCATTCACCCAACTCCAGATTTTTTATGTTATTATCAATGGCATCTTTCCTTAAAATGTCATTTTCTAAATGCCTGTTAATACTAAAAATATAATTAACTTTATATATCAATTTTGAAAGGGAAAAGTCTTAATAAGAAGCCATCTTTTTTTGGACAAGTACAGAGTTTACAATGCATTTGGACAAACACCCTTGGATTCAAGGAGGAAGTTGCAGGTTTGATTCCAACCAATCCTAAGCTCCTTGGCAAACCAGCCTTCTTCACTACAGAACAGCAAAGGAGGCAGTGTGTGTGTTGGGACCCTTTTTCAACGTTACCTGAATACAAACACCAAAAAAGTTATTTTCCAAAAAAGTGTGCTTTGAGTGAAAGTTTTGTTTTGTGATAAAGACTACAATCATATAGTACTACTTAGAATCTATCTTTTGACCCTCCTGAACTATCCAGAGGTCACCAGGAGTTGGGTCTTTCACTGACTGTTGATACTTCATACAGATCTTCTGAACCCAGAGACGCTGACGACAGCAGCATAGCCACCGTGAACCAGACAGGATGTGGATCTTGGTGCTGGATGACCTCGGGCAAACTATTTCACTTCTCAGCCTCGGTTTCTTACTCTGTAAAAACGTATAATGCTACCTACTTTAGAGTCATGAGAATTAAAAGAAACGATGTATGTTGAGCACGTGGGAAATAACAGCCATTATCGTCACTGGCTCTGTGTTAAATGGATCTAGCTAAAAACGAATTCATTCTTAAAATATCATATGCCAGTTGTGCTTAACAACTCAGAAGGTTCTGGAGCTCCAAACCACCTCTTTCGACTAAGGGACTCAGGAGCTGGAGAAAGTAAGGTAGAAGGCACCCCTCAATGTATCACACATCATACGGAGGAGCAGGGCGCCCACTAGTGGAAGTTTCCTGCTCAAATCAGAAGCAAGGGCACGCTCCCAGGCCATTACTGCTGGCTTTGGAATATCTCACTCTGCCTGTGTGGAAGGTATAGGACCACAAAGGTTGGCACCAGGACCAAAAACTGCAGGAATTCCTGGGCCAATTTCTTACTAAGTTAAATCCACAAACCTCCCTGAAGCAGAGATGAAACATTTCAGAAGCAGTGGTTCTTTAATGAAAATAAGTCTCACCCCTGCAAAGCAAGCTTAGGGAGTTGACTTCTAGACCATAACCACCAATTTGCTGGTGGGACAGAAGTTCCTGTGTAATATGGCTACCATTTGAAAGCATAATCCACCTCCCCCTTTTTGTGCAAAGAATAATGTTGCCTTACATAAATGAGACACAGTTTGATAAATTTAAAGTAAAAAACTGTAAAATATAGACAGTGTGCACTCATGTGATGATACTGAAGACTTTTAAGGCACTCTCACCTCCACTACCGCATTTTGTCTTTACAGTAATCCTATGACAGAGTCTCAAGGTGAGTACTGAACACAACAAGTAATCAATCTGGGACTGATCTAACTAAACACTACCTGTCAGAGACCACTTCTTACACAGTTAGCAGATTTAATCAGGAAACAGAATTCGCCAGGTCCCACTCACTAACAATTTTCTGAAATATTTACTAAAAAGACATTTCAGGAAAGAAGCAATCACCTGTCATCCCACCTCCCCAACGCCATGATTTTCAAGTGAAAGCCATTATCTCTCATACGTGCCCACATGGGCACGTAACTGGCCTACCAAGCAGTCTAAGCTCAGTGCAGCAGGAACTTGAAATGGTCTGCATTTTTGGTCCATTTCAGGGCCAATCGAGCACCCATCAACTACATGAAGGAGCAGGAAAAGCTCCACTCGAAGCCAACAGCTCAGGATATACCATGGAGTGGAGGGGTGATGGCTGGACGAGCAGAACAAGTTCAGTGGATCTTAAGAAGCCAGGAAGATGTGGTCTGGCTCCCAACAATCTGATACTTGGTCTTTGTCTTCAGCTTTCAGAGTCTTGATCACCAATTCTGGGGCCTCAGGAAAGTCCTACCCAACTGTTAAGACACATTCTCAAAATGTGAAGACCTTAAAATAGGGCACCAGCTCAAGTATCTCTTGGCAACACCACTGTCTAACTAGAGAGGTTTGTTTAGGTTACCATGAGCTTCTTTTCCAGAGACACAATGTAAAATGGGGATGAGATGAGCTCAAATCTCAATCCATCTCGCAATGCCATGCCAGAACCCTACACCTGTACTTGTTTTTACAATGTTAAGATAAACAAGACTTCATTCTGTTCTGTATAATGAAACCTTCAATGGTTGATTATACAAGAAAAAAATAAACAATGTTGTCAATACTGCTTACTGTAGAATTAAACAGTGTGCTAGGATCACACTTTTTTTTTTTTTTTAAATAATAATTTATTGTGTTGTCAGTGAAAGTTTACACAGCAGTTTATCCCATTCAACAATTTCTACACAAGCTGTTCGCTGATGTCGGTTATGTTCTTCACAATGCCTGAACGTTCTCATTATTTCCATTCTGGTTGTTCCGTTTCCATTAATCTAGCCTCCCTGACCCCTCCTCACCTTCTCATCTTTGTTTTAAAGTAATTGCTGACTGTTTGTTCTCATATAGGTGATTTTTTTCCCCTAAATTTATTTTGTTGTTGAGAATATACACAGCAAAACATACACCAATTCAACAGTTTCTATATGTACAATTAGGTGACACTGATCACATTCTTTGAATTGTGCAACCATTCTCATCCTCCTTTTCTGAGTTGTTCCTCCCTCATTAACATAAACTCACCGCCCCCTAACTTTCCTATCTAATCTTTTGAGCTGCTGTTGTTAACTGGATCCCACATAGACAGTTCTTAAAAGAGCATAATGCTCAAGGCAGACCTTTTACTACTAGTTAAGTTAAACTATTCAGTTTTAAGATTACTTCAGAGGATACTTTTCGTTTAAGGTTTAAAGATTATCTCAGGGCAATAGCTTCAGGGAGTTCATCCACCTTCCATGCCTCTAGAAAGTCTAGAGTCCATCAGAATTTGAAATTCCATTCTACATTTTCCCCCTTTTGATCAGGATTCTTCTATGGAATCTTTGTAGGAACACACTTCTTGCTCTGTAAGTCCAACATAATAGCTTCAGTACCAAGGAGAGAATTTTCCTAGTGTCAGCTCAAATGAGTTCTCTCTATATAAATACTGCTCAAAATTATGCCCCATTTTTAGGCTATGCTTTCTTAGTTTTCTTCTCCCCTCTTTTCAGGGAGTTTCTGATTGCCTTTTCTTTTTTAGATGACTCCCATACCACCAAGATCTTTCTGCTTTTTACTCATTCTACCCACAACTGAATAAAATGGACTTTTCTTAAGAAATTCTTACGGGCTTCCTGTTCTAAATTTAACAGGTTCTTTTCCAGCCTGCTACATGACTGTCTTCTTGGTTTTCTTTTCACTGTATTTCTTAGGAAGTCTTCTTTTGACTGTTTATCATTTTGTTGGAGTATATCCTCAAGTAACTTCCATGGAAAAGGTGCACGCAATGTAAAATAAATCCTTATGTGTCTAAAACGGTCATTAATTTACCTTTGTATCCGAATGATAGCTTTGCTGTATAAAGAATTCTACGTTTATAGTACTTTTTCCTCAGAAATCTTAAAGCTTGGCTCCCATGTCTTCTAATTATCTTCTGCTATTGAAGAAAAATCTCATTCAGGTCTAATCATTCTTTTTCCAAGTGACCTATCTTTCACCTTGGAAGCTTTCACGTTTTTCATCCTTGGTATTTTGAAATCTTACAACCGACTTCTGGCCCCTGGTCCCAGTCCCTATGGGTGGTCCACTTCCTCAGGAGAATGGTCTATGGCAGCCCTGATCCAGAGGAGCAAGGTCACTTGGGAAACAAGCAGAGGATTCTATTCCACAGCAGCGACGTGCACCCTGCGGTTAGGGCTGAAACACCCTGGATTTTCTGTGCAGAGGAATGGGGACAAGCTCTCAGACCAGCTGCCCCAATTCTCCAATGAAGGTGAGCAATGCCAAGGACCACCAACCTCTCATTACTTCTGCTGCTCACCACACACAGGTTCCCTCTCTCTTTGAAACCTTTCCTCAACCCTCTGCTCCACCAGTGAAACCACTCTGCAGTGTATAATCCAGAGAGATTTTATTCTTCCCTCTCCTGGACCTTCTGGAAATTCCCTGTTTTGTGATGCTGTACTGTCCTAAGCCTCCTCCTCATCTGAATAATCCTCCTACTCAGTCACTGGTTCCTCCTACTCTCTGAACACAAGCAGTTTCCCAAGATCTTACGGTGATGTCTTTTCTCTCCCACAACCTTCCCCCCTCAAAGATCTCACCACTTTCATGGAGTTAGCCACCCCGCATCAGATTATTCTAGCCCTAACTGACTTCCTAAATAAAACACCTTAAATTTCAACAGGGGACTTTTATTACCATCTAAAACCAAACACTGCCTTCCCGAACCCCAAACCAGCACCTTCTCCCAACTTCCCCCATCGTCCAGGGGATGAAGCTTTTAGTGTCATTTGGGATCCTCCTCTGTTGCCTCCCCTACCTCCAGGCAGCCAGTCAGCTTCTAAATATCCCTCTTTGTCTCCTATAGTTGCGATCACATCCATTCTTTCACCGTCTGACCACCACAATTCCAGCTTGGGATTTCACTAGCTCTTGTTCAACTGTTCTCTCCCACTTCCTAGTTGTACCTGCACCAATCCAGCTCAGGATATAGCGGAAAATAAGCCTCTCAACTTAAAGCTCTGATCACACAGCCCCTTCTCTACTGCTCAAAAACTTTTAGCAGCTGCCCACTGCATACTAAGTCCACATAACTTGGTCCAGTATTCATAGGCCTTAACGATCTGGTTTCAATTTGCCTAAACTCAATCATTTCCCTGTAAGAACCCTGATTCCCAGGCAAACCTGACTACTTATTGTTTCTAAATATATACTATCTACTGAATATATCAGGAGCCCTGGTGGTGCAGTGGTTAAGAACTTGGCTGTTAACCGAAAGATTGGCAGTTTGAACCCACCAGCCGCTCCACAGGAGAAAGATATGGTAGTCTGCTTCTGTAAAGATTACAGCCTTAGAGACCCTATGGGGTAGTTCTACTGTTCTATAGGGTCACTATGGGTTGTAATCGACTTGCTCACAATGGGTAAAAACTGAATATATGCTTTTCTACTTGCTCATGCTGTTCCAGCACACAGGCCCCACTGTGGACCCCCTCTCACCAACCTATCAAAATTCTACACTCTTCAATGCCCAAATCAAATGCTACCTCCTACACCAAGCTTTCCTTGATCCCTCCATTCCATCTCTATCCCTGGAATTCTGAGTAAATAAGGAAGAGCCACCAAACTTTCAGAACATATGACAATATTAAACAGTTGCACAGTACTTGGCTCAATCTGTCCAAAAATCTAACCTCAGTGTTGACTACATATCCTACAGATTCATTTTTTGGGAGGCAGGGGTTACACGTTTAACATTTGATTCACATCACAATCATACTTGAAATATGAATGACAATACAATATAGAATACAAAAAGAACAGGGCATTACTAAAACAATAGGGCAAGGCCTTAATTTTTTTTTGCTAAGCCATGATAAATTAAAATGTATATATCCCCTATAACCACAGTTTCACTGGGTTGAAGGAAAAAAGGGTGAGACCCCTTTGCTAAGACACAGTGGGTCCAGGATCTCCCTCATGGCTCACCTCGGCGGACAGCCACGGCGTCCCGGTCATCAGTGTTTGATCTCTTCCTGTCATGCCAACTTACATTAACAAAACACTGGCGCTTAACTGACGACAGGCTGAAACAGGAACTGAGGACGCCCGCTCCTGGGGCCAGCGGGCGCAATCTAGCACAGACCCTGGTCTCTGGGAGCTCAGTTCAGGCCAACGCTCCCCAATTTACAATGCACACAGAGGCCATGAGGCAGCAGGGGCATATCCATTTCAAAACAAAATACGTGCAAGTTTATTTATTCACAAGTAATGCCAATTATGGAATTAAGGGGCATGTGCTTCAGCTTACTGTCTACAAGGGTCTAAAATGCTGTCTCTCACTAACAGCGTGGTTACTACTAAAAATAAAACTGACTGCTTTTGTTTTCAGAAGTTTCCCTAGAGAAAGAATACAAACCACCGCTGTGACACGGGCACACACACACACACACAAAAACCCAACTCCACAGCTGGCCAAAACTCACTTTCTACAAGGAAAAGAGAGAAAGTTCTTATGACTTACCTAGCAAACTCTGCCAGCTGTTTGGGGTCTGAGAGGTCGATGCCGGGTATCCCTCCGGGAGGAAGCTTCTTCCCTGTCATGTACTCTGAGTAATCAGGCGGGGAGTTCTCCCCAATGATCTGCTCCTCAACCACCGTCTCATGGTCAAGATCTTTTTTTTCATCTGAAACAGGTCATGGGATTGATGAATGTCAGCTGAGTGAGAATGTACACAGGGGCAAATGCACTTAAAAAACTATGAAAACTACTTTCAGCAGCAGCTTCTGAACGGGTGATTTAGAGCTTCTACCTCAACTTCCTTACTGTCTCTTCTTCCTCCTCAATCTCTTGAAATCCTGTTTCTCCCTGAAGGTCACCAACACGTCCATGCCAAATCCCGCAGACCTTTCCATCGGCGCTCCTCCTCAGCCGCGGGAGCCTGACACTGGCTCAGCCCTCCCACAATCGCCAACAGTCCAGCATTACTGTCTTCCTCACTACACCTGCGTGGTTCCCGTCCCGCTTCTCTAACCAGCTTGTTTTCAGCTGCCTTTGTTTCTCCTCCTACCCTTTCTCGGAGTTCTGCTTTCCATCCACCACACACACTTCCTGTCAGCTATCAACTGTGACGCCGACAGCAATCTAATTTTGCAGTCTTCATTCCTTAGCTAGCTAGCTTCTTGTCTACCTTTCCTGTCTCCTCAAGTCTTCACTCTGCTTCCTGACTCCATGCTCCAGCTACACCGGCCTCTTAGTTCTTCAAGTATCATGGCCCACCGGCCCTAACCTCATGGCCTTTCCCCATGCAATGTCCTCTCACTACAATTGGTCATCACAGCGGTGTGAATTTTGTCAGTATCTCCCACTGGACTGTAAGTCCCATGAGGAGAGGGACGTTTGTCAATTTTAATCTCTGTGTATCCCCAGAGCTCTCTTCAAAGCTGGCCCTCAATAAATATCTATCTAAATAATGCAGGACATCTTGTATATCTTACTATCATCTCAAATCCAACACGTTAAAAAAAAAAAAACAGTATTGACCATTATATATTATACAATAATATATAATTAATGGAATAACCTCCTATATCCCAGACATCAAATCTTATTGGATTATTTTAAAAAGCTCACCTCTCTTAGTCCCACTGCCATCAACTTAGCTCTTATCACGACCGTTGCAAATCTAAACGACTATAATACATTGACGGGTCACAACAGTCCTGCTCTCTGCCCTAGTAATGCTGCGAGGATAAACTGGCACAGAAAATACAATGGTCATCACTTCACCAGGGTGTGGATCCTTCAAGGGCAACTTGGCATTCTGGGTGCTGTGCCATCTGGCCCCATTTAAACAGATCCAGTCTTTTTCCTTTGCACATGCCCTCATATTCCAACCAGGTTGTTTAGTTCACAGGTACCTGAAGGGAGGTATTCAGTAAGCATGAGTTTCCTCCCTCTCCCCTCTCTCAATCCAGCCTACCCTCCCAAGCCCAGTTCACAATCTCTAAGGGCCTCTTGATTCTGTCACTGAGTTTTGAATTTTTGTTTTTCTTGCCTCGATCTGGAGTGGAAGTACCCAGAGGCCAAGGACAGTCTTCTACTACTTAAAGCAGGAAACAGATGCTCCAGAATTTTCCATGCTAACTGAACTTTATTTTTGCTTCTTAATCAAATTATGTTTCAAAAAGAACAGTAACTTAAGAACTTTGAGAAGTGAAAGCTGGCTCATTCAACCCTTACCTTCCATTATCTTTCCATCAGTGTTTAAAGAAAAAAACAAAACAAAACAAAAATGAGACCAAAAGCGAAATCAAAACAAAACCGTACAACTGAGGCCCCTTCCAAAAAACCTACACTGAGCTGTTTACAGACAGCGTTCTCTGACATGAGCCAAGCTAGAGCACGAGGGGAAGACAAAGATCCAACGTAGGTTCCCTTCGTCCCACTGGACATGACGCAGTCAACCACTCTCAGCAATGAAAAGCACAAAATACATCAGTTTTAAACTTTAAGCCCCTCTCTTCTTCCAGCACTCTTCATGCAAGGAAACACTATAGTCATTACAAGGAGTCACAGAACAGCAGCCAACAGTTTATTGAATATTCACAACACGTAGGCAGTTTAAATCACTACACATGTCACTGAATCCTCACTGCCACCCTAGGAAGTGGGTAAATGACCAACTTCACTTTACAAAGGAAAAGGCTGACACACAAGGCGATTAAGTAACTCGCTTAGGGTTAACTAGCTTATAAACGCAGATGTGAAGTCAAGACGTCTGACTCTAAGACCTGTGTGCTTAACTGCTAAGCTCTGCTGCCTCTTGTTTGGAACCAGAAAGAACATTAGAGGTAATATGTCCAAGGTTATCCATTTACAGATGAAGAATACCATCCAAGGACGGATGAAGGGGCCTAAGGAAAACAGCTGGACATATCAATAAAAAAGGAGAGCAAACGCAGTTATTGATCATCAGTTACGAAGCTGGGATTCCGCTGTAATCAGACTCTTTCTCAGGGTTGCCTGTCCCCTCGTGATCTCCCTTCACCCTCCAGCATTCCTCCAACTACTGCTACTTCAAGACTTCCAAGCAGTTCAGGAACACACTGCGGGCAGGAGAGCGATGGGTCTCCAGTGACCTTTCATATTCCTGATGCAAGGATGAGAACAAAGTCGAGACTCACTGGTACTCTGAGCAAGCTGCGGATGGGGGCATGTCTCAAGTGTGCTGGCACAGAAAGAAGGCTGAACTAATGGCATAAAAAAGTCACAGGTGACAGCATTCCTTGTTTTAGTTCAGCATGTATTAACTCTGCTCTAGGCATGGGGAGTAACAGCCAGCACCAAAACAAAGTCTCTGCCTTCATAGAACTTACACTGGAGTGAGGGAAGTCAAACAGGAAATACCTCCTGAGGCTCAGTTCTTAGTACCAGTATTCGAAAATACCAAGAACCCAGAGGATAGTCACTAAGATTAAGAATTAGCACATAAAACATCTAAGAAATAACCTGTAAGTAGAGCTGGTGGCACAATGGTTAAGCGCCGGCTGCCAACCAAAAGGCTGGCAGTTGGAATTCACCAGTGGCTCCGCAGGAGAAAAGACCTGGCCATCTGCTCCTGTAAAGATTACAGCCTAGGAAACCCTATGGGGTAGCTCTACTCTGTCACACAGGGTCGCTATGAGGTGGAATCAACTCAATGGCACCTGACAACAAAAGAGGCTGACAGGGATTTTACAGTTTTTGGCGGGAACTGGTGAACTACAGCCTGCCACCATTTTTGTAAATAAAATTTTATTGGGACAGTCGTGTTCATCTGTTTACACATTGACTTTGGCTGCAAATTTGCACAGCAGAGCTGAGTAGCCGAAGCACGGACATCAGGGCCCACGAAACCTAAGATATCGACTATCTGGCCCTTCACAGAAAAAGTCTGTTGACCACTGATCTATATGATAGGATTTTACGGAGAGAAAATAAGATTAAACTCTAGTGGAATTTTTTAAATTTGAAACAAGAAACAACTTCTGACAATGAGATTACTGAATAATGGGATTTGCTACCAAATAAGGCAACACTTTTCAGCAGGTCTTTAAGACAGGTTAAAGATTTATTTTGGAAGAGGAATAAATATGGCTAGGGGATGGGGGAAGGCTAATGATGTCAAGGATGACATCTAAGTTTCCTGCTGCCTTAGATGTGGATGGAGTCATTTGCCAAGATGGAAAACAATGCGGGAAGAGGTTGAGTTCCATTTTGCTGTGAGATATTTGTGAGACATCCAACAGACAGACCTCCAAGAGGCAGATGGATATGCAAGCATGGGAGATAAACAGACAAGGAGAAAGGGCCCAAACCAAACTTGGGCAATTCCAATATTTAGAGAATGCGGAACACGTTGAAAAGGAGAGTGAAGAGGTATGTCCAGATGTAAAGAGAAAACCAGTTTGTCTAATGAGAATCCTACTCAGTGGTGTATCAAGGGTGGGGCACTGAAAAGTCTGTCCTGAGTATAGACCACAAGGGGATATATGGTGTGTATGGAATTTTAAAACATTAACAGGGATTGTTTTAGTAATATTTATGTACACCTCATATTATCACTTGTTTATTACTTACTCTTTAATAAAAATTGCACTCTACATGAAAGTTAATTTGGAGAACTCCTTAAAGACCAGGGGGCACAGCCATTATGAAGGGCATTAACTATGCAACAACAAAACGCAAGGAAATAAACATAGAAAAATAACAAAAGAAGCTAACTTCTATTGCTAGAAGACATCGCAAAAGCACAATGTGTGACTGCTTTGTTTTCACCAAGAACTGAATGCTCATATTAAAGCAATAGATCAAATAACATCAATGTTATCATTTGGCCATTTTGTTTGATTTTTGTAGTAGGAAAAACTTCAGACGTTTTTACCAAATGTGACAGAAATTTATGACGCTCTGAAACAGAAATAAGGAGCTCTGGTGGTGCGTGGTTAAGCACTCTACTACTAACTGAAAGGTTGATGGTTCAAACCCACCCACTGGCTCCACGGAAAAAAGACCTGGTGATCTCCTTCCATAAAGATTAAAAACAAAAACCCAATGCCGTCAAGTCATTACAGCCTAGGAAACCTTCCGGAGCTGTTCTACTCTGTCACACGGGGCAGATATTTACCTTACACACCAATAGGTATGTGCGAGTTTCCCTCTTTGTTTAAAGAATGTATTAATGAAAAGTATTAATCCTTTTTATTTTTGCACTGTTACAGTATTTAAAAAGTTAACAGCATACTATCTATACAAAGTTCAAAAAAGATTCACTGTTTGCACCAGCCATTATTAACATTCCTTTCATTTCATAATTGTTACCAAAAATCGATTTGTTACATAGAGAAGGGCGTTACTGAATCCACCCTGGGTGTCAAATACGCTACATATGCTGCTGATTTCTACTGATCAGTGATACACATTTAGGTAAGGCATGTGCATGCATCAAGTTACCTCCATCTGCTTTAAAGATGGTTGGATATACACTCCTCCCTTAAGGGCAGTTAAGACTTAATTTTCCCGTTATGGATTGAACTGTGTCCCCCCAAAATATGTGCTGTAAATCCTAACCCCTATAATAATAAAAACCATTGCCATCGAGTCGATTCCGATTCATGGTGCCCCTATAGGACACAGCAGTACTGCCCCACAGGGTTTCCAAGGAGCGGTTAGTGGATTCAAAGTGCCAACCTTCTGGTTAGCAGCCAAAAGCTTAAACCACTATGCCACCAGGGCTCCAACCACTTTAATACCTGTGGATATAATCCCATTTGGGTACAGTGTTTCTGTCTTATCTTAATGAGGCCAGATCAGCATAGGGTATGTCTTAAACCAATCACTACTGAGATATAAAAGGTAGATCAGGTACAGAAGCAAGCAAGCCAGCACAGAGATGGGAAGACAGATGCCCTCCCACAGGAAGATCGCCGAGGAACCGAGGGACAGAAGCTGAGGAGACAAGGACAGAGCCACAGAAAAAAAGTCTTTCCCTAGAACTGGCACCCTCAATTCGGACTTCTAGGATCCTAAACTGTGAGAAAATAAATTTCTGTTCATGAAAGCCACCCACTTGCGGTATTTCTGTTATAGCAGCAATAGGTAACTAAGGAAGGAGCCTTTGTGGTGCAACCGTTAAGCGCTCAGCTGCTAACTGAAAAGTGAGCAGTTGGGACCCACCAAACACTCAGTGGGAGAAAAGACCTGGCCATATGCTCCCGAAAAGATTTCAACGTTGGAAACCCTCTAGGACAGTTCTACTTTCTCCCATACGGTCACTGTGAGCAGGAATCAACTCAATGGCACCAAACAACAACAGGTAACTAAGCCATCCCTCCACTGTGTCAAGGGGACAGTCAAACCATATCAGGAGTTTCAGTGAAAAGGATTTCAATTAGTGATGTAACTTAGTTTAGTTATGGTTACCAGAACACACTTGGGCATGGCAAGTTAAATCCAAATCCCAGAACTCCTATTTGTAACAAGGGCTGAGAATACACGTTACTCTAGCAGGGTGCGGAAATCCTGGTGGTGTAGTGGTTAAGAGTTCGGCTGCTAACCAAAAGGTCGGCAGTGTGAATCTACCAGGCACTCCTTGGAAACCCTATGGGGCAGTTCTACTCTGTCCTATAGTGTCGCTGTGAGTCAGAATCGACTCCACAGCAATGGGTTGGGTTAGGTTTGGTTTGGTTTGGTTTACAGTAGGATGGCAGAGAGAAATCGTTGTCCTGGGAACTTCTAACCAAAGCTGTCAATCAGGTGATTCCAGGGCTCACTAAACACTTTTGCTAAATGCAAAAGAACAGCTAGACCAAAGTCAATGGCCTAAAACATGGAGGAACAAAACCTAGCCAACACTACCCATAAATGGGGCCTGTGCACGCTTATTTTAGCAGGACAATCAATTCATTCATATTTTTAAACATTCTCTATTTTTGCATATGGTACTATTAAGAGACCAAAGCAATAATCACTCCCGGTCTAGTTTGAGAGGCAAAGCAAGCAACTCAAAACAATCTAAGGTCAAAAAGATACGATTAAGTAACTAAGTAGAAAGGCTGGGAGGCACTTCCAGGTGGCGAGGTTAATCAGTGGAGTTCCACCTGCCCTCCAAGCTCCAACCAAACTGTTTCCTCAGTGCTAATCAGTGTCTGATAAAAGGTGGGCAATAAATAGAACTTTCTCCTCCTGCCCCCCCATCACCTGGTTACACCCGCTCTCCCAAGCCCAGATCCAGATCTCTTTCCTTCCAGAGGCCTTTTGTCCCTGCCACACCCACCTCCACTCTGAACCTGGGTTTCTTCACTTATTAGATAATGAAAATACCTCTTGTAAGGCTGAAACCTGCTAACATGTTCAACGCCAACCGTTACATCTGGAAAATACAGAGGAGTGCACAAAAATTTTTTACTCCACTTTCCCTTCCCTGCTAGGTTTAAGGGCAGTGGGAGGTCTTATGCCTTATATACAATAAACCCTGCGAAAGCCAGAACCTGTGTAAGGTGGAAACCTGTCACAGAAGGAAAACTCACGGGGTGTTTATGAGGTAGGACACTTAATAGAGAGTGACAGAAAAGTGGTAAGCACCCTGTCAAAGGCGGAAACTTATGAGACCAGGAAAAACAAGGCAGTCCTGTTGAGTTCCACCTCTCACAGGTTTCACTGTATATAACAGGGATTTACCAAGTACCTGCAGGCTGAACTACGGGGGGATGCCAGCAGGGGTATTCGTTTCCTGTTGTTGTAACAAACTACCACAAACCCGGGGACTTAAAACAACACTAATTTATTCTCTTACAGTTCTGGAGGCCAGAGTGCAAAATCAGTTCCAGAGAGCTAAAGTTACAGTGTCACCAAGGCTGGTTCCTTCTGGAAGAGCTAAAGTTACAGTGTCACCAAGGCTGGTTCCTTCTGGAAGCTGTCTGCATCCCTTGGCTCATGACCCCTTCCTTCAATCACTCCAATCTCTTCTTTTCTGCAGTGAAATCTCCCTCTGCTTCCTCCTATAAGGACACCTGTGATTATATTAGGGCCCACCGAGATAATCCAGGAAACCCGATGGGGGCAGTTCTACTCTGTCCTTTAGGGTCGCTATGAGTTGGAATTGACTCAGCAGTTTTTTTTTTCTCCCCCCAGATAATCCAGGATAATCTCCCTATCTCAAGGTCTTTAATTTAACCACATCTGCAAAATCCCCCTTTTCATACAAAGTAACAGCCACAGGGTTCAGGAATGAGGGCCCGAGTATCTTTGGAGGGCCTTTATTCAGCCTACTACCACAGAATGGTAATCATATAAATCAAAGACACTGATCTTAAGTATGGTTTCTAAGCTAACCCTCAACTCATATGTAACAGCCACACTCAAATTATTATCGTATTTCACTGTTTCTAACAGACATTTTTTCCACATCTTACGCCTCTGAAATTGGGATCTTAGCAGTTTCACGAAATAAGGTGTTCTTCAACTATAGCAAGCATGTAAAGAACACAGCAAATTATGAATCATCTT